CAACGCATAAGGCGGCCTGCTTGAATCACTGGGCTACCGAAATGCTTCATTTCATATGGATTTATTATTGTTTTAATCGTCCAGTTATATCAAATGACCTATACATGAACACTTGCGCGCTGATTTAACTTGCTTCCAAGTAAAGGCTGTGCAATTCTTCAACGAAATGAAGATATACTTCAGATTATTGCTTTACATGGAAATCCTGTATGGAGAAAAAAGTATTTTGGAACTAAATACGCTGAAAATTTTTGTACCATATGTTCGCATATTGTGTGAAATAAAGCTTTGCTATTATTATTATTACTATTATTTTGTCCTTATCCTGAGTTGGCTTACTTCCTTCACTACGTTTTTACCCGTCTATTTAGGAAAACTGAGATCTAATAGCAAGCATTGCACAGTTGTATATGTTTGGCCATTGGATAAACATACCTCTTGGAAGCACGTCACCCGTGTATGATTGAAATAATCATAATCAATCAGGTGTGTACGCTTAAAAATACGTCACTTCACTGAAAGATACCGAATTAACAGACACAGCTGCGAAATTCACGATTTCATTTTATAAATCTTGATGTCATTAATGAAATTCCTATTGCAATACAACAAAAATACAAATACTCGTTAAATTTAAGGTTTGTGATATTTATCCTTTTTAAAAGTGAGGATAATTTGAGATCATTTCGTTTTCTGTGGTAATATTTTGTGATTTAGTAATTCAAATTAACCTAAAATCGCTTAACATTCACCTATCCATCGCACTAATGTATTAAAGTTAGAAGTCGTATGAGACGATGGTGTTATCTTCTGAAGCCTTAGTACTATCATGTTTGTTTTCGTTCAAGTGTTTTAATACACTGTTCTTTTTATAAAATATGACTGTCTTTTTTATGTAATTGTGTTCTCTGAGCTAGGTAGTTTATTTACGAAGCTTTCATTGCCCTCCTAGACAACATCTTCAGTGCTTACTTCAATTTGAAGAGAACACAACTACAAGAAAGAGAATGTCACTGTCTTTAACTCATTGTGATCACCTTGTGGGTGAACTCATAGCATTACGAATGATATGATAAAAGCAAAATCAAGTAATTCTAGTCAACACTAATAAGTGGGGATATTTGAGAACTTCATTGATAAATTATTGTCTCATAATGACAATAATATAAGTGGAAATATAGTTTCATACACAACCATTCATACTAGCATGGACAATACGATTGACAACAGTGATTATCAAATATGTGCCATCAAAGCGTTCAGATTATACAAAGTATTTAGCCTGAAAACATCAAGCATGTAGTACGGCCAGAAAGAATTAGCAACAAGAAACTCTGAAAATGAAGCATTTAAGAACCTGTTGCCCCACAATTATGTTGAAGAAAATAGAAATGGATCGGACACACGATAAGGTGACCACTGAGTGACATCGTGCGCCAGGCCATCATTTGACTGGGAAATGGTGAGTTGGGCTATGCTCTGCAAGGTGACATGGAGGAGATTGTTTGAAGAAGAGGTGAGAGCATATGGACAGTCATGGAGCCAGCTACAGAGGACTGCAGAGAAGAGGGTGAAGTAGAGATGTGCTATTGAATCCTTATGTTCCACTCGGAACCGAAGAGAATAAAACCAATAATGGTTCCACACATGTGAAAAAAATCTGTTAAATACCTTAGCGGAATTTACGCGTATTGCACTACATAAACTAATGTATATATGTGTTGTGACTTAAATTATTGAAATAAAAGGAAGGAATGTATCCAGTTGTAGCTAACTGAAACAGTCCGTTCGACTTAGACCTAATACTGTACTAAGAAACCTCTTTTAAAATAGTAGACAAATGTTGATGAAACGTATACTAAAATCATTTCAATACTGTTTTGTTATAGATGGTCATTCTAATATGTTTATTTATTCAGTATACATTCAACACATATCACATCAACCATAGTTGAAACCACAAAGTCATACAGACACAAAAAATGTCAACCTCTCTTCAGGTATTTCCTTATAAACGTGACGTGCGAAAACTTAAGGGAGGTTGGTGATAGCACAGAGTTTTTTTATTCCTTAACGTTCCCAGTGGATCATAGGGCTTCAAGCTACAGCTTTGAAGTTTCGGTAGCAATGGTATTTATTTTACAGGATGGGGTTGCTAGCTTCATACCCAACGTCCCCTGTCTTTACCAGTCTTATTACTGACTTAGAGATGTAAAGGAGTGCGTCGGCCTGGGCCAAATGCGTAATTGGCGAGCATTCTACTACTGTGCCACCGACGTGCAGTGGCGGTACCGTAGCCAATGAAGTTTATCTGAGGCGCGGTTATTGCTAGTTGATAGCACAGTAGTTATTTCATTTTATTTGTAATTTCATACACTTGTTTGGTCCGGTAATTAGAAGCACCGGATACTTTAGAAATGATTAGCAGACCAAAATTAACAGTTACATTTTGAGTTTTAAATAAATTATATTAGGAATTAACTTAGAATTTTAAAACAAACGGTTAGTGAACAAAATGGAAGGCTGAATTCTCTCACTAGAAGTCATTAGATAATTATATTCCGTTCAGGAATAGGTCCAATGTTTTACTGGTTCTGATAATATTCCAAATCATAGGCCTGGTTTGGGAAGCTGAACACTATTGAATCTATTGCACTTTCTACAATAGGCGTTTTCAGGATTCCGAGTCGTCTTTGGGAATTTAGAATTTCATTTATAAGCTAAGTATGAAATCGGTCCTGTTTCGTAAAACAGTGATCTATTTCAAGAAACTATTTGTCACTTTTCATTCTTCATATCACTGCCATCGTTATTACTGACATCTTAGACTGTAGAGCGTTACAGAACTCTGGATCTATACTCTGAAGAGAACTCTCCAGAACCCAATAAATGATTTCCGGAGAAAGCTATTATTTAATTTAGTGTGTACCCATTTGACATGGCAACCATTCTATAATTCTTTATGCAATTTTCATATCATTCTTGGAGTTTGTTACATAACATTCTGCTTATATTATTCTCAGATAGGCATCACATCCAACTGGCATTAGAACAGCAGTGAAAGTTACCATAGGTTACCAAGTGCTTATTGAGTTATGAACAGAAATATAATGTTAGCCAAACTAAGTAGACGTAGCTACTAAATTACAAACAGCTTCTATGAAAATAAAAACGATAAAGGTTTCTGATTAGAAAAGAGGCTCCAAATGTTCGGCATAATTTGTCCCATGAATTACTAGCATTAACTTTCATGATACTGATAGTAGTAGTAAGAATAATAATTTTATTCCACATAGAATGGAATATTCAAAGTTTCTGTACATCTTGCAACAATTTACCTCCCTTTTATAAATATATAAATACATAAAATTGAAAAAATAATAACATCACAAAAACTGAAAGTTAGTGGAACACAATGAATTATAAATAAATAATATCAATAATAATACTTTGCTGTTCAGTTACTGATTTCAAAAGTTTATAAGTTCTTTTTTGACATTCGTCTCCTCATACAAAACCCGTGCTAAATATGGTGCGGTTGAATTTTTATACTTTGCTGTACGGGCATAAATTCTTATAAAATTTCTTCTGGCTTTAGCCGAAGACGTAGAAAGAAAAAATTGTGAATAAACAGGATGTTCGGTATCAGATAAGATAACTTTAGCCAAGTGCTTCAAAGAAGTGAAATGCCTATCAACAACAATGTCAGTTAGCTGAGCAAAAGGTACACACCACTAACCCTACTTACAGCTTTCAATGTTCTATGTAATATGACATAGTCTCTTTTGAGAAGTCCAGGGAAGAATAAGTGGGGCGAACAATAAAGAAGAGTAGGCAGAATACATGAATTAATAAATTGTAACAGAAGAGGTTGAGTTATGTTTGCCAAAAAGTCTCTACTTTTTTTTCTTAGAAATTAACAGGATTTGAAGAGAAACTGATGCTGAGATAAGAGACATTCGATTTACCCCCCGTCATAGTGCCACCAGTAATACAAAAATCAGTCTGCACAAGTCTTAATGAAGACAAAACAGCAAAGTTCAACAATAGCGTCCCAAGGGATGCGGACGCACGAGTGACCTTCAGCCGACCAATCATAAAAATGAGGAATTTTTGCACAAAAATGACGTATATATACAAGAAAATGCATGAAAACACATTAAACAGGTTATCTTTCTCTGACATCACTTAAAAATACGTCCCACTTATAATGAGGAGTATCAGTTGCTAAGTTAGACTAATTTCTGTACATGTATTCGCCAAGATGACTAAAGTTGAGCTGTTTTTGTGAATCGTTTATCTCTCTTATCATGCTGGCAGTCTTCCTCAAAAGCCCTCGGTTGAATTACCACCGTTTCCAGTAAGAGGATCGACGACTACTTACCAGGAAAATGTGGATAATAAAACAAATTAGAATAAATGACATCAACTCTAAATCTATCCCCAATCGTAACCCTAACCTTAATCCTAACCCTAATTTAACCCTTATTAACGTAAACCTAACCCTAATCCTAATTATGACCCTGATCCTAACCCTATTAGCTATTAACACATTTGTCCAAACAGTACCTAAAAACGTGATCTGAGTGAAATTTGCTCCTTAGTTGGTGAATATCGTTGATATTCCAGTTATGATAATGACCGGTGCTACAGCAGGTTCAATGTCATTGGAACGTTCGCACTCCTGGGACGCTATTGTTGAATTTCACCGACAAAACAGCGCATTTTGATGTATCAAACGGGACAGTAAAATAATTGTTGGGATCTTAACTACTCCGTATGAAGATCTATCATGCGAAAGGCTAGATGAAGCATGACTGTGAAAACAATTTCTCCTAAACCATTCATACTAGAGGGGGAGAGAGAGAGAGTATAGTTATTATAAATGTCTTGACCGCTTCATTCACATTTTGATACCATCTAAAACTCAGAAAGAAACACATTCCAAAGAAAAATAAAATTAAACCAATAATTCTGAAAAACAACAACAAAAAACTCACCGAAAACTGCGTAGAAAGCTACTGAAGATCTGAAACTCTGGATAATAGAATCTGCTTTCTAAATATTGATACCAATTCACGAGATGTATGTATATATAAATTGCAGAGAGTGGATTTGAGAAAAGTAGTCGATTTTCTAGCTGGAGAAATATGCTGCTATCACATTCAATTCAGTAGAGTTTACACGACAGAAGTGATTTCGGATTCTTTGCGAATACGGATACAACTGATGCTCTGTATTGTGTTGTTCGATGATGTATATGTTTCGTAGATTTTCTGGAGGGGTAATATTATTGTTTGCTTTCTAAGAATATGAGAATTTAGATTTCTTTGAAGGATAATTGTTTCTTTGCCTCCTCTGAGTAAGTAGTAGAGTACTTATTTAGATTAGAATGAACAGAGTGTTTGTTAAACAATTTAAGATTGATCATGATTATATTTTTCCTTGGATTTATTTATCAGTGGTATACAGTAGTTGTAATGATGATATCAATAGTATAGTAATAGTTAGTACTGGTGGTGATTAAAGTTATGCTTCATTATAGAAGGGGACGAATTTAATGGCAAACAGGCGTATGAAAAGCAATTGTCGAAATTTTAATTCATCTATCTATCTACCCCTTTACTCACTTTTACCATTCAGTCACACATACCATACCCACCTGCCTACCTACCCACCCACCCATTCACACGCACACCCACACCCACATTAAGTTTATATTTATATATCATTACTAAAGAGTTCCATCAAAACTTTTATGTCATTATGTCCCTGTGTTTCTCTCACTTTGAGATAAGGCACACACACATTAAACGTGTGCGTATATTTACTGTTTGGCGTAAACAAACAGCCACGTCTATGGCCCACTTTCAAACGCACACGCACACGCACACTTACACACAGACGCATAGCCTAGTACGGGCTGCAACCAGGTTGGTTACGGCGGTTGCCAGTCTTTCACGCCGGTTTCCTGAACCAACAACCAACACACACACACACCACCATTATACGGTAAGAAAAGATTCTTTAACTGTATAAATAAAAATATATATAAGCAATAATAAAGGGATAGGAAATGCTATACAAAAATCTTCTTCCCTTAAATAATAATAAAGAAAGAAAGCCGTACCCATTTCAACGAGTTTACACACACACCTGAACAAATGAGAAATAATTTAAAGGAATTGAAAATTTTAATTTTAACTTTAGAAAAACTTTACAATCCCATCATCAAATGAAATATATGCTTAATTAAAATATTTCACTCTCTAGGAGATATGATATGCATTCATTCTAATTAAAAAATTTCCTTTTTTTGCTAAATAATCACTGATGCATATAGTAGTAATAATAATAATAATAAGTCAGCCACCTTGACGCCGGTCTGTCTAAACATCAAGGCACACACATATATAGGCGTCTATCTAGTCTCAACAGGCGTCAGACTGTCTATGGATATATATATGACATTTGATTGGATTAAATCAACTACCAATAATACAATATCAACATGTGCAATGTAACTAATCCATACAAAAATCAAATAATAACACAACTTTTAATCATACAGTGAGTGGTACAGCAGGTGCCTGTCTGTCTAGGTAAATAAACTACTAGACAAATTGGAGCCAGAGTGACTGATACATCTGATTGGTTTAATATACCTGGAGTGTGTGTATGACTGAAGCAAGTGTATTCATAGCCTTGTGTATGTGTACAACGAAATACCGATAAAGATGCTCAATGCATCTTCTGGAACCAAATTGTTTTCCGGTATTCTTAATGTAATTAGTGTATGTGTGTGTGTGACGATGGTAAACGTTGGTGCAGGGACTTGAGAATACTTAAACTGAGGATCACCATGACAACAGTTGATGTAATACAACACAGAAAATATCCTTCGAGTGTGATTGGTGAGTAGTAACTAGAAGTCGTCTAGTTAGCTGAATTGATGAAAGAGTGATTTTCTTGTAGAGCTTCGTTAGTCGAAGGGACGGGTTTGTATGGATTCGATATATTTCATTACTAATTGGTATCAGTTAGAGAACCATTGAAAGCCAAGGATTACCGGACAGCTGTTTCGTCCTAGTTTGGGACTCATCAATAGTATACATCCACCTCCAGGGTTCGAACCAAGGACCTTCCGGTCACATGGCAAGCTCGCAATGGTCCATGAATTCTAACTCCCACCAATTGGTGATTTTACCTCAACGACCAGTCAGTGTCATCGGAGAGTATTAGTCCTCACGTGAGACACGATGGACCCAACTGGTCATGACTTCTTACTACAACTCCAGGCAACATCATTCAGTAGCCAGTCATTAGCAAGAATCAGATTGGTCGCTTAATTCGAAATAAACTACATTAAAGAATAAAGTGGTTGGCTTTTGCAAAGCCTCATAGATTGCTTCGCTTAGCCCTGTTGAATTCGCTAGCTTCCAAGTCTTTAGTAGATAATGGATGGATTTTCATTTTAGGTTACGTCATACACAGCTCCTATATTGATTACGGCACTGAATTTTATTTGTGAATACTTAGAGAATATACCATCCTAGGAAGGATTTTTGAATTGTCTGTTTGGTTGTATATCTGTCGCTCTTCAAAATAGCACTTGCAACTCAGCAGCTTACGGAGTAATACTCTGATTTGAATGGAAACATCATCAGTCGCTTGCATGTAGGTATAGCCAGCAAATAACTGCTGGGCACGATAAAACACATGTCTCGGATTTCCCTTTTGGACACCATCTAACAAATAATGGAACCACACAAAAAACTTGGAGGATCTGGATTTCGCCGATGAATATTTGATTTCCCACAAACTGGAAGATATGCAAGCGAAAAGCAACAAGTTGGCAGAAGAAGCATTAAAGATAGGACTTCAGGTGAACATAGAGAAAACAGAGGTGATGAAGATTCCTGGGCAACACCACCAACAGCAACAGACAACAATCAGCATAAATGGAAGGAACCTGAAAGAAACAACCTCCTTTACCTACCTGGGAAGCATCGTTTCAACTACAGGCGGACGGAACTGACGAGGATATCAAAGCAAGAATCGGAAAAGCAAGACAAGCTTTCACTACTCTCAAGTCTGTGTGGAGGTCAACAGCACTCACTATGAAAAACAAGATGTTAAGTCAGTGCTACTATATGGATCAGAGACTTGCACTGCGCGTCATAAAGAGCACCTCAAACAAACTACAGACCTTCATTAACAGTTGTCTTCGCTCAATACTCAAGATCAGATGGCCGGTCAGAAAAGATCAGCAACAGGGAGGGATCTCTGGCAATGAGCGAACCAACCAGGAACCGATTGTGAAACAAATAGGCAGGAAGAAATGGAGATGGATTGGCTGACCATACTCTGAGGAAACCATCAAGTGACATCACTAGGCAAGCCATTGCTCGAGTGGAACCCGAAAGGGAAGCGGTGAGTTGGTCGTCAGTGCAAGGGTGACTTGGAGGAGGTCATTTGAAGAGGAGATGAAAGCATGTGGGCAGACTTGGAGCCAGGTGAAAACTCTAGCAGAGAACCGAACGCAATGGAGACGCACGGCTGAAGCCCTATGTTCCTCTAGGAATTAAAGGAAAAAATAATAATAACAAATAATACTATGTATAATTTACCCCCAGAGTCGATTAAAATTCCCTGATGTATTTCCCAATAGTTCTTAAAAGTCAATGAGAAAAAACAATCAATCCTTAAGCCTAGCGTAAAATTTAAGTTTCAACTAATGATATATAAGTGTCGGTGGTTCCTATCATAGAATACTCGCCAACCATGCCAACAAATGGTCCGGGTTCGATTCCCAGCTGATGAACTCTTAAAACTCGCCTAGACGGTAGTAAGACTGGTTGTGCATGAGTCTAGTAACACCACCTCTATTGGAACTTCAAAGCTAAAAGCTTGAAGCCCTACATTCTCCTCGTGAACACAAAGGAATGGAAAAAAAACATACTGATATGTAAACTTCAGTGGATCACCTGGTAATCAATATAACTCAGTTTCACTCAATAAGCGTAATCAGTGAGAAAAGGGATAATACATGGCATTAGTACTAAAGGATTCTATTATATTTAGAGAGTAACTAAGCTTCCCTCACAGCTGAGTTACTATGCTTATGTCAATTAGATTAGTTAAAGGATTCAGTAAATCAATTTAACAAAAGTTAAATGTGTACCTCTGCCTAATAGGCATGGAGATTATTTATTAATTCACACCTTGAATAATAATAATAATAAAGCAACAGTGTCAGAAGTAAAACTTGTCACTTATGCACAGAAGATTCACGTTTTATTTATTGTCCATGTTGATGATTGTCGGAGAAACAGTTTTCCTTCCTCTCCTAATGTATGAATTTCACACACTATATCTACCATCTGCATACGCTTATGATGAACACAAGTGTTTATTTAAACAACAGAACGATAGTCCTTTTGACTATTTCACACTTGTCTATAGTGTAGGGGTTAGTTGTCAACACATGGCAACACATACTTACTGTGTTTTGTTTGAAATGACATAGTCATTTACTAAAAGGTTGAATCTAATTCTAGACAATATTTGTATATTAGTGTAATGTTCAACAGTTGCTTATTTTTTAAAAATGTATATGTGAGGTCAGTTAGTCAGTTTAGTGAGTAACAATCACTTTAATACTGATGTTGATGATGACGGTGGTTTATCGTCTTATGCATGTAAAATAATCAGCTAAAAGGTGTGAATAACAAGGAAGTTATTTATTACTGGCGTTTTGACCGAATATAATTTATTTGGTGGGAGGAGGGTAGGTAACTTTGGCTTATTTCTTTTTAAAAAGTGTTTTATTGTATTGGTTACAGGATTTCATCATGGGGTGACATTAATTAGAGAACCATTGGGAAACCTGGGAGTACTGGACAGCTGTTTCGTCCTCGTGCTTTGGGACTCCACTTCAGCAGTACGCACCCACCGGGATTCGAACCCACGACCTTCTGGTTACAAGGCGAGCTCGCAGACCATTGAGCTACTGGGACCCGATCCAATGCCCCATGAATTCCAACTTCTGCCAATTCACGACATAGCGCGACCCATAGCCAATGTCTTCGGTGAGTATTTGTCCCCATACCCGACCTGCTGCACCCTACTGGACACGACTTCTCACTAGAACTCCAGGTAACTACTTAACTGAATAGGCCCAGTCGCTAGTGAGCATCTCATTGATATTCAAATATTGGTTTGTAGGGATTTAATTGATTGGTTATAGGATTTCATCATTAGCTGACATCGGTTTTGAACAACACTGAACGAATATATAATATCTTCTAGAATTCCAGGACTGTTAGAAGAGAAAAGAATAATATAATCACAAAAAGGTATCAGTTCTCTGATGCATGTTGTTGATCATGCTTTCTGGTAATTGTAAAGAGTGGATATGTCACTCCAACAGGTAGTCAGTGAATAACTAAGCAGTCTGTCAGTAAAGCTACTGATTACAGAAGAGCGTTGTTTTATTGTACTTGAGAAGTGAGAAAATTGGTTGAACGTAGCTCTTATTGTTTTAATTTATTTATTTATAAGCAGATTGCAGGCATATCAGTCATTTTTATTTTTTAAATTCTTTCACGTTCCCAGTGGAACATAGGGCTTCAAGCTAGAGCTTTGAAGTT